AAAAATGGATCGAATCCAATGTATTCTTCAGGTGACCTACGTTTAATTCCAACCATGTAGCTGGCCCAATTAAAAGTCATCGCCCACAAAAATTCTTGTCTCTTGCATATTTCCTAGAGCAATGGCTACAAATCAACCCTCACCCTCTTATCCCACTGACACATTTATAGACAGCAACTGTATCTCTTTTTCAGCTCTCCTTTTGCTAGACTAAACATGTTAAGTTCTACTAGTTTTTTCTCATAGGACAGGCTCTCCATTTCCTTGATCAACCTAGCAGCCAACTCTGTACCTGTTCCAGCGTGAGTTCACCTTTCTTGAATACAAGGAACCAGAACCATATACAGCATCCTAGAAGTCGTCTCACCAGTGGCTTTAATATTTCCCCCCTCTCTACTGAAAATACTTGTCCTGATGCATGCTAATCCTGCATTTGTCTTATTCTAAGCTACATCTCATTGGTGAATTGGACTCATCCTGTGACCTACATCCTCACCTCTCTCTTCAGTAGTTTCAAACTGCCAGGCTCCTATGAAATTTGGTCAAGTAGAAAGGTCACTTAGAAAGATGGTTGCTACTGTTCCCTGCCCCTTCCCCTAATCTTTAAGACTATTCAGAGGCAAAACCAGATGCAAGTCTGTAAGGACTGTGACAGCAGTTGATATGTATATTCTCATCTTCATGGCCACCTTCTATTTCCACTTGCCGATTAGCTAATGAGATCAGTCCAAGAATACTTAAGATACATCAGCTCTCAAGCACTAAGCACCTACTTGAGTACATTTCACAATGTGGGAACAGTAGCATGTCATAGGAAAAAATCATTACACAACTCAAACTCAATCATTTGCTCATTTATTAAAGATCTGGGGAAGATGTGGAGTTATTCTAAAGGACTTGTTCACATTGAAAGTTAAATCTAAGGAATCTTGGAATTTAGCTATTTGGAACTTTTTCATGGTCCCCTTTGGCATGGAAAATGTAACTTTATTGTTTAACAGGGTGTCAGTTACCACTAAAAAACACCCTCCCTCCATTAACAGGGGTGCACCAGCAGGTAAGACATGATTGGGATCTAATCCCCGATCCCAAAAAAAAACATCGCACGTGGCACAGCAGGACACACGATTGTTAGGATCAAGGATATTAGAACCAACCATGTTTTAAAGCGAACACTTGTTAGGGGCCTGAATACCCAACCCTGACACCTAGGAAACTCATTTAGCAGCTTCTAGCTGCCAAATTGTCTCCCTAAAGCGGTTTATATGGCATTTCTGGAACTGCCTTATTCAAATATAGTTTGCTTAAAAAAGAATAGTTTCCTTAAAAAAGAGAAACA